ATGAAAAATAAAGGTGCAAGTAAAAGTATACTTTTCTTAAATAGAACATTTTTTTAAACTTTTTGCATTTATAATTAATCAGTAATATGCGCTTCACAAGTAAATAAATTTATTTCTAATTTGATAGGTTTCTACAGATTCTAAATCCATTTATTAGTGTTACTGATATCGATATAGTAAGATGTGAACATTTCTTGTTTGAAATCGTCTAATTTTTACTGTGTTTAAATTCTATTAACCGTTTTAATTATCTATCTAGAATATAAACGTTCTGAATCAGCAGTATGACCGCAAATGAGTCCTAGAAAAAAAAATATTGAAGTGTTTCGAATAAACAATATAAGCCGTTTCTGAGCTTAAACCTAATGCTATTCCGCCTGATTGCTGAATTCTTCAAAAAATGTGCCTTACCAGCTAACTTAGCCCGTAGGTTATATCCATAAATTTCTAGAATATGTTCTTTAGATTTTTCTTCTTGCATTTCTAATAAAATTTGAGCGATTTTATAGTATGAATTCTCTTTTTAACTAGTTTGAAAAATATTGCTAATATATAGAGAGATTATTTATTCTTCTTTTAGAAAATAATATCTGTATTTGTATCGTCATTGTTGTTGTTACTGATTATGTTTACTTCAATCAGATTTTCTTTGCTTGTATCATATAATAAAACTATATATGTTTAGAAATATTCTTAGGATTCCCAGTACTGATATTAATGACCGTATGAAAGTAAAGATTTTCACTTATTAGACTGAGTTGGCTGAAATTAATCGTTTCTTCTTTTACGACACAGAAAAATTAAAAGCATCAAGCTGAAGCCGTTCTGCAGTCAGCATTTACTATATATCAAGCCACTATGAATTTTTCATTGTAAAAAGATTAATTTACTTACAACGATCATTCTGCACCATTATTATATATTACTAAAGAAATGCTTTAAATAATGTATAAAAAGAGATTTTCTGCCTACAAACGTGATAAGTTGATTTATTTCATAGTTTTTGTTTGATTTTAAAATACCATTACTAGAGTTATGATGAATTCTCAATCTGAAAGTTAACTCGCTCTATTGATACATTATAATCGGTTTAGAAAAACTCTGAATAAGCTGTACAAAATCTAAAGTAAGTATATTTTGCTTCTACATAATTCATTTGAAAAGTATTATATTATAAATCGTTGTATAAGAATATATCTGATTTTATAGTGCAAGATAAAACGCTTGTTTCACTTCAATAGAAAAATTTTAATTTGTATGTAAACTTTATGAACGTAAATGCAAATACGAATCAAAATTTTTCAATAGCTAACTATGAATGCTAATTTCTTTTCTTGAAAGTAATAATAAAGCCATCTATTATTATTTGATGGGATCAACTAAAAATAGAAATCTAATTTAAACGTATGTGATACAGAAACTAACCCTATTTCCGTCTGCACTCGTAGTACTTAAAAACTAAATATCTTCATATCAGTCAATCTCAGTATGTGATTTGTGTGTACTAATTATCTGCTGCCATTCTGTTTTTTTTGCCTTTCTCTGTGATCTAACAGACATAATATAAGTTTATTCTTTCAGATTAGTAGTTTCCGTTTTATATAATATGTCATTAATATAGTATTAAACTAGATTCAAAGACTTATTGTCTATTTTAATGAAGCAATAGTCTTATTCATGATCACGAGTATTGTAGGCTTAACTCAGTTTCTTCATGATTTAGATCGAATCAATAAAACTAAAGAATATCATTTCGCTATGATTTATGATAATGTAAAAGAAAGATTTTTGAAATCTAGTTGCATACTAACTCGGTTGGAATCGTATAATGCTGTTTTTTCTTAATTATATTTTCGAAATTTCTACATAATTATCTCGATTAAATTTGACATGCAACTTATCTGCTGAGCGCCTATGATACTGCGCTTGTTAACTTCTAACAGAAGTGAACTTGCATAGAAATAAAAATATTATTTGCTCCAAAACAATGAAACATTGTCAAAATTTACGAGAATTGTTTTTCTCTGATAATATTATGAAGCCATAAGGTCAACAGTGATGTGTGAATTAAAAGATTGTGACATTTTTTCTGAAGTCACATTCTGAAAAGCTATCGTAATAAAGGAGATATACTGTTGAGTACTTTTTAGTTTAAAAGTATCTGTGTATTCAATTATAGTACACATTTCCTGTATTTTTATTTTCTTCTAACATATATGAAATGTTATGGTTAAATCGAACTTGAAAAACTGTACATAGGCTTGCTGGTCACTGATATTATTTTATGCAGTTTTGCATACAAAAGTTGTGTATCATGGTTTGAAAAAAAGAAACATACAGGAAGTTTATATCTTAACAGAATATTCTGAAATATTTAATATAGATACGTATACATATACATATTTTAGTCAGTTATGACGATGTAGAACTATCGTACGAAATATTTTCTGTGTAAATCATTAATAAACAGTCACATTAAAGAGACTAATGAAGTTTTCTTTACAGGAACGCAGGAAGCCGACATATTATTTCTTTTCTCTCGTCCTCAAACGCTAGGATAACTGAAAATGCTTTAATGCTGTCGGTACGTATGTTATTCTAACGAGGGTAGGTCACCAAGTGTTCAATCACTTTTAAGTCAGAATTATGTGTGCCATTAGACCCCAGTGAGGTATGAAAAACTCCAAAAGGATAAGAGCGGATAGGCCTTCTGTCCAGAGTTATAGCCATTTTACTGAAATTTTAGCCTCTGGCATAGTATATATCAACAAATCGAATGTCAGTATTTTGACCTGAAATTTTGCCCATTGACAGATCTCTTTGTGAATAGAACACTCTGAAATTTTCAGCTCAAAAGAATGTTTCGTTTCCGAGATAATAAAGTTCCAAAAAGTACTCATCTGTTTTTATTTATCCAACAAAGCTGTGATCCGAGAAAGATCCTTACAGCACCGGGAATAGAGAAAGATACGAATGAGAAAAATGAGAAAATGAGAATGAGAAAATGATGGAGAGGCGAAATAGAGCTATAACCCGAAGAGGACATAGACAACAGTGGCTGAAACAGCAATTACAACGAACAATGAAGACAATAACAAGAAAGTCACACTGAAAGAGAAAATGCGTTGCAACACATGCAAGGAACAAGAACAGAAATAAGAGAGTTATCAGCATGCGGGGATCAGAATGTTTTAGGGAAGTCTTGAAGAAGTTGAACTTCTTCCATCTCGAAGAAGGGAATAGAAGAACAACCAGGGACCGACTTGAATCATGACATGATTTTTCCGGTAATTGGCGTATGGCTGATGAATCTCTTCGATCGCCTGAGACCTTTCAGAGGGAATTCTCCTTCTAGCCAGGTTTGTCTAAATTCATTAATGTTGAAAAAGCACTCATATTTCACGACTGATACTAAGATGTTCTGATTTTTGAGACTTTAATATTTCGGAAACGAAACATTCTTTTGAGCTGAAAATTTCAAAGCATTCTGTTCACAAAGAGATCTGTCAATGGACAAAATTTCAGTAAAATGGCTATAACTCTGGACAGAAGGCCTATCCGCTCTTATCCTTTTGGAGTTTATCATGCCTGAATGGGGTTTACATGACACACATAGTTCTGACTTAAAAGTGATTGAACATTTGGTGACCTACCCTCGTAATTTGACATTTGATTTATCTTTCTTCGTTGTCGTTTTCATTATACGGAAAAGTTCATAAATTCATTTTTTCAAGATAGTTCGTGCTTTTTTTGTTGGGATAATATATGTTGAGATCTAAAACCCGATGTCAGACTATCTATGTGCTATGCAGATGAAAGAGGCATTGTTTTAGAGACCAGCGTATATTATAAATAAGATTTTTTTAAATTGCGTGATTAATTAAAGTTGAGATGGCAAAACAACAAGAGAAGAAATTCCTTTTAATGTTATTCTTTCAATTCCTTTACTATTTCCTCAGCGTTTCAAGTTAGGTTGCTTTTAGAATTTTGATAATGTATAACATAGCTATGTCACAGTTGACATGAGCATTTCAGTTGGGATTGGAATGCGCGAAAAAAAATAACTAATCGAAAAAATATATTTTTCTTTTTATTCTGCTCGTGATAATAGATTATAGAAAAACCGAATAGAAAAGAAATATTTCTCAGATAAATTCAATGTCCCCATGTCCCCATAGTTAAAAAAATAGACAGCGTTGAATTATTTAAAAGCTCATTGTAAAAAGATGAAAGGAGTAATTCTCAATACAAATATTTCTAAAGTCAGATCTCAACAAAGATTCTATTAAAGAAATTATGAAAAAAACTATTCCAAACTCAACTAAATTCCAATATACACGCGTGAGTGCTGACTAAACAATGCAGACAATAACACTAAAATGGTAGCAGAAAAAAGGGAAGAGATTTTTTAATTGAACTATTCAAAATTAGTTAGGGAATTCTGTTATTCAGCCTCGTATATCGAATTTTTCAAACAATTAGAGTATAATTAGCAATATAAAAAGTACTTGAAATGAGTCTACTTGAAGAGATGGATCATAAACATTTGATTAAAGCTATATATTTTATCTTTCACGAAGCCCAGATGCACTTGCCTTGCACTCCTTCACGTTTTAGTCATGCGTTCATTATGATAAGGAAATTAGTTAAATTCGATCAACATCTTCATTTCTTATTATGTAAGCTACTTTTATGTTTTCCGATTACGCATCAGAGTTTATACAGTAGATTACTTCAGCTTGTTCTCAGTCGGTTTAACTTATATTGAACACGTATCGACTTTCTTTTTCCAGATGTCATTATATCCATCTAGTTATTTTTCTGAAAAAAATTACAATCGCTCACATTCATTCAATATTTAATTGTTTTTACAGATGAATAATTGAAACTATTGGGCAAAAGTTGACAAGAGGAGAAAAATGAAAATTAATAATAGTCATATTATGATTTTAAATGGCACAATTACAGCGAACTCGTCTGCATATAAAGAAAATTTTATAATGTTTGCTGGTTATCTCTTAATAGTATTTTATTATTTAATTTTTATTTTGGGTTTAGTTGGTATGCAAAAACAGAAATGAATCACTGATTTTAAATTTTTCATATCTTATTTCAGGCAATTCAATGGTGATTTATGTGGCTATTAGAAAGAAAAAATATCGCAATGTTACCAATTGTTATGTTATTAATTTGGCTGTAGCTGATTTATTGTTTTTAACCGTTGCCATACCTTACACTACTTACTTAGGACTAGTCAAGGATTACACATTTGGAGAAACTATCTGCAAAATTTATATGTATCTTGCTTATGTGAGTTTATATCAACTCACATATGAATCAGTAAATTTTATTGTCTTTTCTATCGCGTTATTGTAGGTATTTTTATTAGCTACTTGTAATACATTAGCTGCGATGAGTATTGATCGATGTTTCTATATTGTTTTACCCGCTGCTAAACTGCAAAGTCGTACACCACAAACCGCTTTAATAGTTTGTATTTTGATTTGGGCTAGTGAGTATACCAAACCATGTAAATGAAGAAGAAGAAAATTTTCTTTTCCTTTTTAGGCTCACTTGCTCTTATTGTCCCTTATCATATCATTTCACATAGAACTACATCAAATTCGACATGTGGTAGTAATAATCATTCGAGTTTCCTTGTTTGTTTTGTTATCTTTTCCTCTTATTATGCTTTGCCACTGTTTATTATAATTGTATGCTACACAAAATTAGCAATGCATGTCATGCAATCCAGCAGACTTACTGCTAGTCAAACGAAAAATGTATGAAAATAAAAAAACACATTTAAAGATTTTTTAATAGTTAGTTTTTCTCTTTCTTTTTCTAGAAAATGATTCCAAAACGGTTAAAAACAAAACCACAACAAGTCACAAGAACGGTAATATATAATTAGAACATTTTCTTGACAGATTTATTGCGTTCGAGTCGAAGTCTTTCTATCACTGACACCATTATTTTTCTTACGTTAGTTCGTTAGACTCTGATGCTATTACTTATTAATAACTGTCGCTTCTTCACTTACTCCGATAGCGAGCTATTTAATTTGATATTTGAATTGTGCGGTTACTAGATGTTAGCTTCGAACACTGGTGGTCCTTCAACTTTTCAGAATTCGAATTCGGATATACAAACCACTTGATCATATTTGTGCATGAATTGTATGAACTAAACGGCATTGTAAGTTGATCGAAGTAGATATTGTAACAGTATTTTTCGTGAATTCACCAATGCTAATTTTCTATGATTACTGTTATATACTAAATCATTCTCAAATGAAACTTACTTTACGAAGATAAAATTTTATTAATAAATTTAAGCAACTATTTTTTTGGTTGAACAATTAAGTGCCGAGTCTTTTTTCTTTGTAACTTGTGCATTTAATTTCTCAGTCAATTCTTTTTTAAATAATTTTTTTTTTAAGTATAGATTTTACTTTAAAAGAACTCGAACATAAAATTTTTTGAAACAAATAGCACCTGCAGCATTCATTTAGAGACATATACCAGAGTCACTAAATGAATTTCTATAGGAAATTTTCCTTCAAACTGATGAAATTTAAGTATTCACAGATGAATTCTAAAGCAAGTACTTCAAAATGCCTAAATAAAACAAAATCCTCAGTACTTTTAAGCATTTTAGATAATAAGCGCTTAATAATACTTAAACTAGGGAGATTCCTCAGCAGTTTTAAGTAATTTACAGAATCAGCGCTTCACAGTACTTGAATATGATAGAATTTCCAGCGCTTCTATGCGATTTAGAGCACAAGCGGTGATGAGTGCTTTAAAAATCTATTTTTAACCAAAATTAAGCGCTCCTTGAAACAGCTTAATCTGTACGAGTCTAAGCGATTTTAAGTTGCTTATATCACAGTAAGTTAATATAAGTCGCTTAAAAATAGCTTACAATACAAAAAGATTTCACATGGGTATAAGTCTAAGAACTCTTGTTATTCTCGAACATAGTATATATTATGGCATCGAAGAGGTAAAATAGTTATTCATCAATAAATCTTTACCAGTTCAACTTAACTATTACTAAAAATTGAAATTCTTTCAAAGCCTAGCTAAAATACATTTAATTTGTAAAGTTCCCATTGAAAAATCTCAACTGTGCGAAGCGATGATTTGTGAAACTATACATCATCGAGTGATCTTTGAGATTTCTTGATAAAAAAAAATGCGCATCCTATGCTCGATATAATATCTTGATACGTTCTAATGATATGCCAAATATTACACATAATCTACAAGTATTTGATTTATTCTTTGATATTAGCCAGACTACGTCCTCATCTTAGCAAAACATAATTGTCTTAGACACTAGCTAGTGATAAACCATTAAGGAGTAACTACTGATTTTTTTTCCTTTTGATTGACAGAATCCTTTACACAAGTACTAGTAATGATGCTTATTATGATTGTGCAGGCAAAAAAATGAGAATCGGTACTTTTATACATCCATGATACTCTGTATACTAATTGATCGAATTGAACATGTATAGTAGAGAATGTAAGCACAGGTGTTTTTACTCGAAAACTAGTACTCTAAATATGTGGGGATTCATTCTGTATCAAATATGAATAGATTGAAGCAAATGTAAGCTCGTAATATTTACATGACAGTGAATGTTGTATATTAATATAAATGAATACAATAATCAAAACTAATTATATATTCAGGCGATGCTAAATATAAATAATTATTTTATTCGAATAAAATGTTAAATGACATATCACACTGTTTTCAAAACGATTCTCTAATACAAACAAATTAGCTTAGCTAGTGTTGTTTTCTTAGTGATTCTAATAAGATTATAGGTGTAAATTCAACAATAATGGAACATTTTCATGAATTTGAAAGGTACAGAAATTTTTTGCATTTTTGTATTGCCAATCGAATTTCGAAATGCTATGCATTTTGAATTGAACTTGTGTATCTATATTCGTGTTTTGGATAACATTTTCATTATATAGTTTCTTTTTGTGTGCTCAAAAAGTGAGTACACTCTAGATTCGGTCAGTGTGTCCGCCCGGCCGTTAACACGATAACTTTTGAAAGGCTCATTCAATTGTCATGAAATTTTGTACACAGAATGATCTCATCAATATCTCAGTCGAGTTAGAAGATGCAAGCAATCCGGTAAGAAATGACTGAGTTATCGAAAAAATTGTCATTACTTTCCAGACCATCCCTGAGAAGGGGTACAGAGATTTTTTCAAAAAAAAATACACTTTTTTCAGAATTATTCACAACATATATGAATCGACTCAGTTTTTAACACTGATTCCGAATCTGATATTAGTTTTGAACTAACTCGTAGCTTTCTAACAAAACATTGTCTGGAAAAGGTCTCAAAATGCACAAAAACTGCATCCAGAAACAAAATTGCCTTGATATATCTCAGATGGCCAGTAGTTTTTGGGGTTTCCCAAATGCCTGATTTTGTAGCTAGTCAAAAGGACTATCAAAAGATAAATAATCGACCTCGATAGCTATTAATATTGGTGATTTATTAGGAAAATACTGATGCCTGTATCTATTATATATCTATTATAGATTCATGAGGTTGCTTACGATCGTAATCCCGCTAGATACAAACGTAAATTCATTCAAAATAACTCTTCTTACCCAGTTTTCCAAGCTAAACACGAATCTGAACTCAATTTCTGTGATTTCTAAAGATATTATATCACTCCGAGACTAGGTCAGTGGTCACGGGATAGGGTCGCATACAGTGTGGCCCATGCTAACTTAGCACGCCTGTATTTTCTCCTTGCAACTTAGTGACAAGGGATGTATCTTGATGAGATATATGTCTTATAGAATAAATGCGAAAACCTAGAATTTAAATTCGATTGTTATGTGTACTTCAAACAGTGAAAAGGTATATTCACTTTGTTCTTTATTTTTTTAGATAGTTTGATCAAAATCAATATGTCATCAATTAGTTTTACTTTTTGAAGTATACATAACACTCGGATTTAAATCCGATGTTTCCACATTTATTTTAATTTTAATTCAATCTAGAAGCTTAGATTGAATATGTAGTAGTGTACTTGTAGTATGAATAATTATTCTAACTACAATAAAATAACATTAAAAACGATCTTATGCATAAATGACTTTCATCTATTTGATAATATTATAAAGTGTACTATTGATTCATAGAACTGTAAAAGTTTCTAATAGCAAAAAGAAATGGTTTGAATCTTTGGAGTTTGAATGTTCAACTAACTGTTTTGTTTTTGTTTTTGTTTTCGTTTTTAGGTTATTATTGTAACATTGGCATTTGCTATATGTTGGCTACCAATTCATGTACTTGAATTAATGAAATGTGCTAATTCGTCAATGCTCGACAGTCTTATACGATCTTATCCAAAACTTCTATACGCAGTTCGTGCTTTGACACACGCATTAGCTTATTTCAATTCGTGTTTGAATCCATATTTATATGCATTACTTAACCGTAATTTCTGTTGTGATCTTATTGATATTATTCCAACGTGTTTAAAACCTCGAAGTCAAACATCAACAATTCAAACTAAACATTCAAATGTGAAAGACAAATATTTTCGGTCAACATTAATTCCAAATAGAAGTCTTCTTAAACAACAAACAACTAATGATGACAATACTGATGATGAGCATAATTATAGAGAAAAACTTAAAAAAGATACGGTTGATGTTGGTTGTCAAATTGAATTAATTGCAATGCATAAGAAATGAGCTGCTTTTTTTCTTTCTGTGTGTGCGTGTGTTCTTCCCATGTAAAAAAGAAGTGAACCAAAAGTCACTTTTAATAGGAATAAAGTAATTTCTCTTCCTATTTTTCACTTTTTATAGTATTTTCTGATCATTTTTCCACTTTCTATAGTACTTTATCATACTTTAGTTACTTTCAAAAGTACTTAAAAAGATTCACTTACAAATACTTTGCCCTGCGTAAAACCAACTATTGAAAGTACTTAATAGTCACTTTTTTGGGTAAAATGTTTTACATGAGTTGTTGCTATTTATATCAAAAGGACAACAGAACAGTAATACTAAAATTTATTAAACGTTGATTAACCACAGGTATATCGATTTATCAGAATATAAAAAAAATCTTAGAAAAAGATCGAATTTCGGAACTGCTGAAATCATTTGTTTATGAGATAACAAAATCATAAATTCTCAGCTGAATTGAAACAAGAAAAGCTGATAGTTAAAAATATTCTTTATCGTAATCTGCTCGATTTAGTTCATGCCAGCGACGTGGTGAATTTCGTTTAGAATATCGAAGCGCTACAAGATCTCCAACTTCGTCCATGGCTTTTAAAGCCTAAAAAAAAGAGATGGATAAAAGTAAAGAACTTATTATTGTTTTCAACTTACATGATCGAGCATTTCTTTAGTATGACCAGCTGATATACAAAATCGTACACGTGATTCTGTCAGTAAAGTAGCTGGAAAGCCAACGGTTACAACAGCACAACCACGTTTTAGCATTTCACGATTAACAGCTCTGAAAAGAAAACGATAATCTATGTAAAACATAAAAGTAAAAGTCAATCATACGCAATTTTAGCAGGCATAAATATCATGACTGGCACGACAGGCGAATTATCATTTCCATATACAATAAAACCCATATCAACAAGTTGACGACGAAAATAACGAACATTACACGCTAATTGTTGAATACGTTTTTGGCCTAACATTCCATAATATTAGTTGTATTGATCAAAATATGAAAATCTCATATCTTACCATCATTGGTACCGTCACGTCCCATAATTATACTTAATGCAGATATAATTTGAAATACAATCGGTGCTGACATACTGGCTGAGTAACATCCTGAATGTGTATAAATACGAATATGATCAATTAGAGACTAAAAAGCAAACTAGTTTAAAAACAAAATTTTTAAAAAAAGTATAAATTATACTTTTTTTCCAGCAATATAACCACCAGCTGATCCAAAACTTTTGGTAAATGTTCCCATATGTATATCAATATCATTGGGATCAACATTCCAATAATCAACAACACCACGACCACGTGAACCGATAGCACCGATTGAATGCGCTTCATCAACGTATAAATAAGTTTTATATTTTTTTTTCAATTCAATTATTTTTGGTAAACTACATAATGAACCTTCCATACTAGAAATAAAATGTATTTTAAATATATAAAAACAAAATCATATGTATAATGCCATTTTATCTACCTATATACACCTTCGACAATGATCAAAATTTTTTTCCATGGCCGACATGTTCTTGGTTGACCATGAATAATAGCATTACGCAATCGTTTTTCCAAGTCTTGTATATCTACATTATTAAAAGAAGAATATTTATTTAGCTTTGTCGAAATAGATAGATCTCTGAATCATACCAACATCTGCCTTTCAAAGAAGAAGACATGTAGAAAATGTTCTGATTTATAGATTTGTCTGATAATTCTCAGCAGAGATCGGCGAGTCAGTTAAAAATACGACTCGCCACCGCCTTGCCATGTTGGCGAGTTGAGCACTGCTGCCTCGCCTAGCCTCGCCTGTGATCTATCTTAATAAAGATCTTTTAAGATAGTTATTCCAACTACCTACAATAGCTACAATTCTTTATTGCATTATATCACATTGAATACGCTTAATAAATATAGATAAGTTGAAAGAAAACAAATAAGAAAATTACAAAACTAAATCAAAATAAACAACAATCATTCATTTTTTTACTGAACGTATAAACAATGAGTTGTTTATTTTCAGTTTCCTATTTATTCATCAAAAATAACATTCTAAACATAGGCGAGTAACTCGGCGAGCTACAAAGTCAACTCGTGCTCGCCGCGGTGTAGAAAATGCCGCCTCGCCTCGCTACGAGGCGAGGAAACTCGGCGAGTCTGTGATCTCTGGTTCTCAGTACGGTATGTAGAAAGAAAAATGCTAATTACAAATTCCAATAAGACTCAAGTTTCTTTTTTCTTTCAGATAAAGATTCAACATTCATCAAAACTGAAGTAATAATATTAAACCAAATTTGCAATACAAGAAATTCATTAATAAACAATACTAAGTAATTTGATTCGTTTCAACATAGATAATTTCTAAGTAAGAGATGGCATAGAATTAGTAGCTTTGACTTATATGGATTTATTGCTGAAATTGATTATCCACGTGATAGAAATTTTAACAAAAACTAAGTATCATATTGCACGACTCTACTATTATACTTCACGACATCTAATAAGTTTTTCTTGAAAACTTTTACAATGCAAAAATGTGAATCATAATATTGCCTGTTTGTTTTGTTTTCATCGCTATTCGTTATCAACTAACCCTACAACATAATGTAGCAGTAGTAGAAAAAGAAGAAACAGAACAACAATACGGCTTCATCAAGTGTAAAAAGAATGAACTCAAAGAAAAACAAATGTTACTCTAATTTTTATATCAGTTGGAACTGTTTTACTGACTGAAATATTTACCATTATGATTAAATGTATAAACTGCTGCGCCAGATAGACGAGCACCAAGTATAAGTGAAGTATGATTAAGTTTATCGCTAAGAATTAAATCACCCTATTGACAAAAAAAAAACAATTCTATTTTGATGTAAAATAAAATGTAATCTTTACTTTTCCGGCAAGCGCAGGAATATTTAATGCATTCGTAGCAAAACCCATACCAAAAGCGATACAATCTTCGACATTTAAATATTCAGCCATTAATGATTCAAGATCGTTCATATAATTTTGTGTACCTAATTCATGACGTGTGCTGCATGATGAAATACCATATGTTTCAATCGATTTCATAGCTTGATCAGAACAGGGACCACAATTTTCAGCAAAACCCAAATAATTATATGAACCTAAATTGATTGATGGCAATTTTTTACCACTAAATCTATATAAACAAATAGACAAATGAATGAAAAAATTTTCCATGAATTTAAAAGTATTTTATTACTGAAAAGTCCAATTAAAATCTGTTGAAAGACGTTCCATAACTTGAACTGTAGCTCCAGCAACACTAGCAATCGGTTGATTAAAGACATCACGTATACGTGTGTACAAATTTCGTGTATAAAAACATTCATAACTTTGATAGAGCGGAACAAAATCCTATTTTTAATTGAAAAAATAAGTTATTATAACTATTTCTTCTTAATTTCTTGTACAAAATTGTAAATACTTTTGGATTCGGATCTTGAGCAGTCTTTTTATCCTCTAGGCCAATATTACGAAGAAAATCACGTAACCATCCAAGTGCAGTCAGTAGTGCATAACCAAGAACAGTTATGACTGCAGCCCAAGTTGGCGTTTCTTCAAAATCTTCCTGAGAGTCACTGTGAGCTAAGCCCTTGAATGAAAAATTAAAGATAGCGAAAATTTTAAAAAAATTAATATTAATTACTCTAGGTTCCTTTTTCATATGAGTTTTTTCGAAAGTTTTTACCGATGGCATCTGAAAAAAATATTTGCACCGTCGCAGTCAAAGATGATCGAGAGAGAGAAAAAGTTTCACTCTTTATATGTTACTCAATCACAATTCTGTACCATTTTCATCGCCATCACAACTAAAAACACTAATCGAAGTGTCTATTTACATAATGTACGATGACGTACAGCACCCCCTTTTTCAAGAATCTAGGCAGAATGAGAAGAAAAAACTCGTCTAGATGATGGTAGAATATAAACAAACGAGCGAAGATTAGCAACACACCTGACGTTAGCGGTCCACATCTTAGTAACAATCGTTGCCTTCTCTTTCAAATCACATTGCATTTCTTTCCAATCAAGACATGAACGCCGACGCACAAATAAAATTCATTTTACTTTCTTCTTTTTTTTTCTGTCGAAGCATACCACTGTTAAACTTACCAACGAATGTTTGAAGAAATACTTAAACTACAAAGATGATCAAGTCGGAGATTGATGATTGCATATATAAGAGCTCTCCTGTTTTTTTTCAGAATGAATACTAAAAAAGAATGTCTCGTACAAGTGAAAATTCTCAGTGCTTTACTTTTTATACGCGTACATATACATCAGATGTTGGTGTATATAAGCATAAAATATGCAAAAGAAGTAGAATAATAAAAAGAAAAAATAAGCAAGAAATAAGAAATTAAAGATTAACTTTTATGAATTACCCATCTCAGTTTTTCCTCATTTATTTGTACAAAGTATACACCAATAATTGTCTATTATTTTCCAGTCCATCTGTTTTTAATGAAAGAAAATAAAAATCCCTAGATAATAATTTTAAGAGTAATAATTAATATCAAAGCCATTATGGAGTTAAGTATCATTTAGTTTATTTCTACGCGTTCTCTCCTCCGTAAAAAAGAATATTGAATAGTAGAAACGATTTTTAATCTTGACATCATTTTTATGTACTAAGAAAATAAACGATGTAAATATACATTTATAAATCTATTCATTAAAATTAAAAGATAACATTATATAATACAAAAGTAGGCTGTAAAACAATCATCGCACATTTTTAGTTTGTAGGTCAATCAAATGGGTGCACGATTCTTAGCGAACTTTTATTTTTATTCCTTAGACGTTTTCTTCGTCTCTACATAAAATGAAAGAAAAACAAATAGTAGTCTCTTGATAGATCAATGAACAGCTATTTGTCATTTTATTTGTGCGCAATAAAAAAAAAGCATTGATGTTATTCAATACAATTAAATGGCTCTCTATAAGTTTCGCTTCTTAACTTTTAAACGTATATCCTTATAATTTGATGAATCTTTATCTTACATTAAACAGATAAATGTACAACAAAAGTAGATTCTATAGACTGAATTACAAATCTAGAAGAATGACAGTGTCTTAACAACGAATAAATAAGAGATTGAAATTTTAAAAAATCAGTAAGAAACAACTTTTTATGGTCTTATTAGGAACACTCTGTAAATGAGTTTTTGAAACTCTGATCGAATCAATTTGAAGAGAACAGCAAGTATTTCTAGTTCATGTTCATAGAAAATCAGATAAATCTCTTCAATAGAAGAACCATCGATGATAACTATCTAGAATTGCCTATGTAATTTCACTCATTGAAAATTTTGATTTAAAAAAAGTTATAAAATCATGAACTAGCGAGTACCATGATCTACTTGAACCTGTAGGAATTAGTATTGCCAATTCTTCTGCTTGTAGCAGAAAAATTCTGCTTTTTTTCTGTCATCTGTGCTGTTTCAGATCTCTTAATCTACTATATTTTTTAAGAAAATTTGTTAAATTATACTAGATAATTTTGTCAAAAAAAGTGAAGAAACATTAGTAATTAATTAAATCTGACGCTGTCAACGTCTTATCGTTATTCTAACGGAAGATTGATATCACTCCTTATTTTTACAGCTTAAGAAAAAGCGGAAACTTTTACTATTCGCTTTGGAATCGAATCCAAAAGCTCTGATAGCCAGAATATATTTTATATGACAGATGGAGATTTTAGCGACATCTACATATCGAAGATTTCCAGACAATAAAAATAATCAGATGAAAAATACATTTTCAAAAGAAAATATATCGATTGGTTCTATCTTTGTGTTTACCCAGACTTTTCTCTCATTTCTATGTAATAAAAATTAGAGATTAATGTAAAATTTTCCTCTATCTCATCAAGTTTACGTTCAGAAATTTTTATAGTATCAAAAATATACTTTCTGCTCGTTTCCTGGTTTTTGAACAAAACTCCTGTCATATTTTACTGTTTAACAGTTATTTTCTGTTCTGCAAGTATCAACAGGTGGTAACACTGTTGGAAATATGTCTGAGTATTAAATGTTTTCAGTATTCATTTCGCATAAATGAGACTGAGCAAAGTTTAGTTGTTGCTCCAGTTTAATAGCAAGTTGAACCGGTAATTCTCTGGTTTTTTCAGTCATCTATCAGACTAATTAGTGGAGAATATCGAAAATTGACATAAGATACATAGTGATATCAGTTGTAATGCAACTCAAATATATATTACTCTATTAACTTAGAAAATAATATATTGTAATGGATTTTTAGCGGTTCTAGAGTTACACACAGCTCATTCACTTATTGTTTCATCCAGACAATAATTAAATTTCAGCATATACAACATACTTAGATCATACATTACATGTATCCAAGAAGAGATAATAAAAATTATCGGTAATCGATAGTCAATTTTTCTAATTACGTAAACTTTTCAATCGTTTTAGATTAAGAAAGCAAAAACAAGTGAATTCCTCGACGTTCATCCAAAGAATAGCTAAAAACATCCCATTCGCTTTACAAATTATAACACTTAACAAATTTATGGAAAATCATCAGTAAATTCTTTTAATAACTTTTTTTCTAGTAATTATCTTATCTTGTTCCATCCAACATCAAAAAATTACGCCTATCAATATGTTACGAATGTACTCTTGCACATTGATTCTTCTCCAAAATACTATGTAATTGATTTTTGTTTCAAAATTGCAACTAACAAAACCAGCCCATGAACACAATATAAATACAATCATGCGAATATTTCAGCCTGTAGTACTTTGTAATGTGTTCCTAACATTTAACTTGGAAACTAAAGGATACCATTCAATATTCCATTCAAGAACTATTCAGTTCACTTGCATTGTTTTTCATTTGTATTCTGTGTAATAGGCAAGCAGCTCTTTTATTTTTCAAAGTACTCCGAATGAACCATATTCGACTCATTTTTATAAAATACTGATATGTGAAAATTTTGTGCATATTTTAATCGACTCATTGCTGATACAATATTTTTTAGTTATGATTACAATCGTTCGTCTAGAGACAATTAAAATTATCTACAAAGAAAGATGACACCATGTTTAATAGAGAAAAAAAAAGAGTCAGGATATAAATCTTGAGGAATACATTTATAATGAATTCACGAATAGTAATAGCGTAAAAAAATGCAGATAATGCCATTGGTTCAATAAAACTTGTCAGCTTATTTTTTTTGGGACTAGAATATTGAAATCATATTTTTTCTCATTATACTAATAGAAAATATCTATGGTGAGAAATCTGCAGCAGACTTTGACTGGCTTTTCGAGTATAATTGATCGCGTGAGAAACAACTTTTCTGATCTATTTTTGCATATCAAACAGATTGTTTTCTCTCTCAATATTGGTCGGCTTTTATTGTGTCGTATTGTCATTCGCACTTTAATTTTCTTTTTCTGGATTCAGCTTTGACTAATTTAACATTATTATTATTATTATTATTCGAAACATTTATTTAATTAACAAGTTAGCATCCTATACAGATTCGTTACCAACACAACAGCTATCAAAGCGTTATTGTGAATCACGATAATTTTAGAAATATGTGCATTATTAATATCAAATTTATAAATTGATCAGTTAATTTTTCCTTGTGCATCATATATGATAATTGTAACCAATTAATATAAAGCTGTCACTATCATGTTCGAAACCCTATTATATAGTAGCACCTCTGTATAAAAATAAGACATTATACTATTTCGATCATATACAGAGGGGTTCCACTCATGTCGATTTTTCTAGGTAAAGAATTAGTAATATTTTAGAGTAATCTAACCATTGCTATTTGCACTTTTTCAGTGTCTTGTTTTGTTGTCCAGTTTCATAGAAAAAAAAACATATGTTCTAATCATAGTACAGCAATTCAGTGAAGATGAATCAATTGTCTTTATTTGTTACATTAAGTTATCTTAAAAGAATTTTGTTGCACTATCGAAATCAGAAATTGTTAGATTGTGAATTTTTGAGTAATGAAGATATAACGGCATTTGACTTGTAATGGTCAACGCACAGTGGAACGGTTAGTTAACATGAAGAATCAAGAGCTAAGCTAAATGTATTTTGTATTCCAAATAGTTGTCTTATTTCAGGTAATGAACATAATGATAAAACGTTTATTCGGGATTCTCGTAAATATGATGTCTTAATCGAATCTCATCAGTATTATATTTCTTATACAATTTCGAACTCATCGAATATTGAAAATGTATATAAATTTGTTACAATGAATAAAGACTGAATGGTAATTTATTCTGCTTGAGTTTTAGCGTGAAAGATTCTTTTTAGATGCTACCATCATTAGTTAAATGTAAAAATAATTATAGAACATATATTTATTTCGATGAAATATATTAAAGTTAACATAGAAAACAACTTCATGTCGCTGGAGATTTTATTACAAACGAAGAAGCAAATGGAGAAAAACAGAAATAGCTCATCTAGATGTGCTATATATTCTTTCCGTACGTAATTGATGACCCCATGAGCATGTGAAGGAGTAGATTAACTGCAGGCCGATATATATATATATATTACAAATTTTTTTGAAGATATGCCGAAGTATTTTATTCTCTTTAGAAATGTAACATTGATCGCGTCTTGTCGTAACTTTACACTTTCTTGATCCGGATTTTTCTAATTAGAAATTTCTATCGAGTCCCAAGCGAAATACTATAAGTTTATAACACATGTATACTCCTTCCGTACATTTGTAGAAAACAATTCTACTATATCAATCTACTCATATATAGTTATTATTTTATTTTGAGATATTCAAGTATCTGTTGCAAACTACTGGTTTCTAGGAAAATGTCTTGAATAGTTTAAATCATAGGATTCTTAACACGCTTGAAAAACTAGGAGATCTGCAATATCAGTTGATGCTACCCAATTTTTTCAATCACATCAATCTATAAATTAATTTTTTTACAATAAATAACAACAGAACCTGCAAGCAGCAAAGCCTTTAGTGTAATATAATGCTCAACAAACCAACGCACGAAACACAAGAGAAATATTAGATGCGAAGAGAAAATAAAAAGACAACGGTATTCTATATATATGATCTCATTTTGACATGCAATATTTATGATTCGATTAGAGTACATATTTATTAAGCACAAGCGTAAACATATTACTCATCCAGATTACTTCATCTCTTTCGAAAAGCTGCAAAAACAGAGAAAGTAGTCAGAGCAATAGTAGCCAGAAGTAAAAATCCGATTACAATAAAAGCAATGATCGCTGCTGTCCGCCATTTAGTTAGCTCCTCTTCTGGTTTGACTATCGGATCTGTAGTAATATTTCGAACAGTAGTGAAAGATACTGTCCCAGCTGACGTCGTTAAAATCGTTGAAGCTGCTGTTGTTGTTGACCGTGAAGACGTTGTCTTTGTAGTTCCAAAGATTGTCGTTGTTCTTATTGTTGTACTTTCAAAGACTGATTGAGTTGTTGTTGTAGATCCAAAGGCTGGTGGTGTTGCTGTTGTACTTTCAAAGACCGACGGTGTTGTTGTAGAGCCAAAGACCGGCGGGGTTGTTGTAGAGTCAAACACCGGCGGCGTTGTTGTAGAGCCAAAGACTGGTGGTGTTGTTG